TATGGCCGGACTTCTAGCTTGGGCCGCCGATGTCGTCGGTAAAAATGGAAAAGACGGAGACGACGAGAAGGATCGGATCCCACTGGTTTTCACGGAGGATCAACAGAAATACGTCGATGAGCTTGGCCGGAAAGCCACAACTCTCAGCCGTTCGATCCAAGATCTGCGTCTCAGATTGCCTCCACCGGATATTTCCCAGCGTCTTCCTCACCTTCTTGCTCACTCCCTCGCCTCCAATGCCGCTCTTACTCTTCAGCTCGATTCTCACTCCGCTACTCGCGAACAGGTTTTTCCCCAGATTCCACAGAATTGGATCTGATTCTCTCTCATTTTTTCGAAAAATGGTGATGCTGATTCGAGGATCATAGTTTCTGCTACAAAATTGGATGTGATTTTTGTAGTTATACAGAGGGAAGATTAACGATTCTGATGGCTTCTTCTTTTGGTATTGCAATTAGGCTCAAATGAGAGAGCAGACGCTGCTAGAAGAAAACAGTGTATATGAGAATGCAGTATCGGTCTGTGAGACAAAAGTACAAGAGAAAAGACATGAAGCAGATTCTCTTGTTAGAAAGTTGAAGGTGAGTTTTGGATATGAATGTTGGTCCTGTTACCACTTGGGATGTAGGACCTAATATATCATATGGTTTGCAGGAGCTAGAAGATGTAGAGGAAAACTTGAAAACTGAGCAGGAAGATGCACAAGCTTCTCTAGATGCAAGGCAGTCCAAAATCTCTGGTGAATCTATTACACAGCTTGATGGGAATGGAAAAGATGGAGGAGATACTGAGGCCATGAAGTCTGTTATGCTAGAGAAGTTGGAGAGCAAAAAGAAAGAATTGGTTAGTTTTCGATGTACCTTTCACGGGTATGGAATTCTCCAATCTTTTATATCTGAATTGTGGTGTAAGTTGTTTTATTCTTTTAGAGTTCAATGGAAGAAAAAGTTCAGGATTTAGAGAGGAATTGGGCTGTTTTACAGGAAAGAGCACTGAAGCTGCCTTCTCCAGGTACTGCGTGTCATCAACACTGATTGTATTTCTCGACTTAATTCATGTTCTTCAGACGAAAGTTGCTAAGTTACTAGTTTATCAGCATTAAGAACCATCACGTCTTCAACATATGTATAACTTATTTTTAGTAAGAGTCCAATAGAGATCTGTTTTTGGTTCCTTTTGATAGGTTGATAGCCTGAATAGTTTCATTTACATTATCTGACTGGGAAGGTTTTGCTTTCACAGCTCAGAGAGAGAAGACACTGGATAAACAACTTCATAGTCTAATCGAGCAATTAGCTGCAAAGCAGGTCCTTCTCAAGCCAAATCAATGTACATTTTTTCCTTTTGACGGTTTCTTAACAGAAATTTCTGATATGCATATCAGGCACAAGCAGAAGGGATTGTTGGTGAGATTCATTCAAATGAGATGGAGTTGGAGAGACTAAACAGTTTGTTGAGAAGATATGAGGGCTTTAACGTTGAGGGGAACGCTGCAAGGAACAGATTCAAGAGAACAAATTCAGATAGAGGGTTTGGATCAGACCACGAATTTGATGCTCATTCCTACCTTCCATATTCATCTGCTACAAGAAATGAGACCCAAACAAGGCTTATGTATCTCAGGTCAGCTTTTGTCGTCTACATTTTGGCCTTGCAAATCCTGGTTTTCATCAAGATTTCCTTTTGAGATATTGTGGACATGAGTACTCTGTTGTGCGCAAGGGGGTCAAAATACTGCATATAAACTTGATAGGAATACGACAATTGTTCTCAAATGGGTTTCCATCCTTGCATATGAATACATGGCAGTAAATACTAAGACTCGTACAAGAATATTTCTTTACAGTTTTTCTCGATTTTAGATATTGGTCTCACTCTACTCGTTCTTGAGGGATGGTTTCTACTTCTCTGTCTTCATCATTTGTAGCAAAATATCATTCCAAGTATCGACAGGTCCAGGCAGGCACCAATGGATACAGTCATTTCTCAAAGTCACCTCTGGATTCTGTAGATGGCCGTATCTCCCAGGATGCCCATCTGGTCGCAGTAGCATTGCCTGGGTCGTGTCCATAACCCTCAGTATCAAACCCTTCTTCCTGCCTTCTTCTTCTGCAGCTCTAAATTCCTCCAGTTGAATGTCGTGAAGCTTGAGATCTGGACCTTCGGATATAGTCTCGTTTCTTCTGTAAGGTCTTGTCCTTACACAGTCCCCTCCTTCATTCCAGGCCCCACCTTCAAAATGTTGAGGAGAAAAAGTCCTCAAAATTGCCAGACCCTTGAAACTTTCGAGTAAAGCTTTTATAGATATTCTTAAAGCCTTCCTGTATCCATAGTACAAAGGCAACTCAGTTGTGTTTGGTAACCCACAGTATTGGCACCCAGATATTTGTTGGTTTTCATAGAAAAGAACTGGCCGGTAAAACCAGTGGCCAGATGATATAACCAAGTAATCGAGCTGATCAATCTGACTGGTCCACTCGGTGTCATACTCATCGAGGTATAAGCTGAAGAGGTAGGACTTTGGATTTGTAGGGTCAGGTTTAGTAGACTTCACTAGAAATGGTGACCACATGGCATGAAGAGTGAAGTTATAGGATGTGTAATTCCATACTTTGTAATCTGCATCTGGTGAAGGAGAAATGTCTTCAGGATATTCCACCTGAAAGGAAATTAAAAAAAGTCAACACATAGAGAGATGTTGGTTAGTTTTTGGTGAGCACTCACAATTAGATTGGATGTTTACCCTAGAGAGAAGGCACAAGAGGGATTGCACTTGGTTTCTGCTAATGGAATCACCAACAAATCCCATGGCTTTCCCTCTAACAATTTCCAAGAACTCTTGTGGATCAAAGATGGGGAGGTCGCAGCCATCTGGCTTCCACCTCCATCTCATGAACCCGGTGTCTGGTCTTCCGTACTTCATACAGTTCTGGTGCTCATGTATCGCCCAGCATGTCGTGTTGGTGTAATATGGAGCTTCTTCGTTCGGTACCCATTCTCCAGTAAAAAGATCACACCTTTGCTCTTCATCTCCAATCCGGGTCCTTGATGTTGATGTGGTGACTGGGGGTGAATGATCATCAGATGATGAAATCTGATCGGACGAAGAACTCCAATGTCTTAAGGACGTATGATTGAGTGGACTGGGAATGGGACCATTCTTGAGTGAAGGACTCTGATGGTATGAAGAATTCTGATGTCTTAAAGGCATATGATCTGGTGGAGCGGGAACGAGACTATTCTCGGGTGAAGAGATCCGATCGGATGAAGACTTTCGATATCTTAAACGCGTATGATCAGGTTGAGCTGGAACAGGACTATTTTTGGGTGAAGTAATCCGATCGGATGAAGACTTCCGATGTCCTGAAGGCGTATGATCGGGTGGAGCGGTAATGAGACCATTCACAGGTGAAGGAATCTGATTTGATGTAGAATTCAGACCGAGATGCGTATGATCTGGTGGAGAGGGAAGATCAATCTCGGAGGATGAGACTGATATAGGTAAGATTGGATAGGCAAGGAGAGAATATAAAGCAGGGACTATAGTTAGGATAAATAGAAGAAGTGTTAATGTAACTGCAACTCCTACTGTTCTTTGAATGATTGCAAACAGAGGAAGCCCCATTGTGTGCTTCAAGACAATGGTGTCTGGTCTTATCGTAGATATGTATGTACATTTGTATATATGGAGTGTAATCGTGTGTGTTAGTGCTCATCCAATAACCAGTCACAATATTTGACTATTTTTAAAAAAATCGATTAATAACTAGAGAGAGAAAAAAAGCAGAAGACTTCTTGATTTGGTTTGGTCATTAGGACAACATTTTCCGAACTTGAGCCAACAATCCTTCGTCTTCTTCTCTCTTTAACATAGCGAGCAAGAAGTCATTGAGGTTATCGATAGGACCAGGCAAGCACCAATGGACACAGTCGTTGTACAGTGTGACATTGGCTTCAAGAGGATGGCCGTAGCGGCTTGGGTGACCGTCCGGTCTAAGCCACATTGCTTGGGTCGTATCTAGTAGTCTTAATCTCTTGCCTTTCTTTTTCGCTTCTTCTTCAGCTCTCCAAAACTCTTCCAACTGAATCTTGTGTAGCTTCATTGTCATTTCGTCTTGAGTCTCGTTGCTCTGATAAGGTTGTTTCCTCAAACAATCTCCTCCTTCATTCCATAACCCGCCTTCAAAATGTGACGGCGCAAAAGTCCGCAAGTACATTACCCCGTTGAAGCTATCCGAGTCCAAGATCGCTTTAAACGCGGTCCTAAACGCTTTTCTATACCCGTAAACCATTGTGAGATCAGTTATGTTCGGTAATTGGCAATAATGGCAACCGGTGATTTTCCGGTTTTCATAGTAGACCGATGGCCGGAAATGCCAATGTCCGGACGAGATGATCACGTAGTCAAAGACTCCTATCTCAGCCGTCCAACTCTCATCTGCCTCATCAAGGTAGAGATTGAAAAGATCGGTATGCCGAGGCTGGGTCGGGTCTGGTTCTGTAGACTTTACCAAGTGTGGTGTCCAAAATGGGGCGATAGTAAAATTGTATGTCTCGTATGTCCATCGTTTGAAATAATCGTCAGCCTTAACCGAAGCATCTACCGGATATTCAACCTGAAATGTTAAAACTATCGATTCACAAAAATTCCATAAATAATATGGGGGACCTCTAAACCGGACAGATCGAAAAATGGATCCAATAGTAATTTTCCAAATTTGAACAAACTGTAACCAAAACTAACCGAATCGTTCAAACAAATAAACACTTGTATTATTCTTTGAAGCCAAAGTCTAAAACAAAACCAACTCAGATTTAATTCGATTTCTATATTCAATTCGCAAAAATCCAAGCCGAAATTTAACAAAAAAGAAGAGGGAGTAGTTTGATATTGTTTATGCAATTATTCAATTAGTTAATTAGCTAAAACGACCCATGGACTCTGGCGAAATGTCAATGTGTATTCTATTTCATTGGCAGAATCTTTAAGTTCAACTATTTTTTTATATAAAGAGTAAACTAATTTGTATATA